AAAGGACATGGTAGCATCAGACAGGTTTCATTTATTTTCTTATTTCCACAGCTGTGCTCCCAGACGCATCTGGTTACACAGCTACCAATATTAAGAGGATGTAATAAACAAGTGACACACAATTGCAAAATCCATCTGTTCTGTAGTGGACAACAAAACTGTTCAACAGTAGTCACCATTCACACAAGCTTAACACAAGAATAAAGTTTTTACTCCTGATTGGAGACCGTGATTCTCATCTCATTGATAATCATCTCTAACTGGTGCTTTTCAACCTCTTCTTATGTTTTCAAACAACTCTGTATCATCTTCACTGTAGATTTCCAGAATATCCAGAGGCATGAAAAAGGGTTTTAAGTGTAGGAAGCAAAGAACATTCATAGAATACAACTTCAAAGATCCATTAATTCAATAAAGTCTATTCAATATATGGTGTGGGGGCTTAAAAAATATTGGATGGGGAGGTATAGCAAATCATTTTTTTCAAAATGTCCCTATTCTGTTGGAAGGTTATAACAATGGTAAAATTTGTAAATACTACTTTCAGGATGCTGGTGACACAAACCATAACTGTAGGCATTTATGACTCCTCCTACCCCCTGGTCATTTTTAGTTTTAGATCAGAAATAACAAAAAAGAACAAAAATAATGTTTCCAGCTGGCTCCTCCCACAGGGTTGTTAGCAGGATGTGGTTGACACTTGAATATCTTATTTATGTAACAGAGAAATTAAATGTTTGATCCTTAGTTTTATTATGATTATACCTTTCTGCTAAACCTTTTAAACAAACTAATTAATTAATTAACAAATGCTAATTACCTTTTTCTTTATAAATACTAAGAAACATGGGTATTTTCATCCTAAAAACATTTTTAGTGTTTTTGTAATTCTTGAAAAATAATCTAATTGGACAGCAACCAAACAGCAAATGTTAGTTGTGCAGATATGTTTTAGGTAGCCCTCATTTCATTACTGGATTATAAATTATGATATTTTGTTTATATTGGTAAGGACAGGAAATAAAAATAGCTTCTCAATAGAAATTAATTCTAGATTTTGACAGTCATATTCACATCTTATTCTAAATCCTTACTATTTCCTCAAAATATTTTCTATTTCCAAATATACATTTAGAAAGAAGTGCTAGAAGCTTTTGAGGTTAAAGACCCTATTATATAATTCTTTGTATCTCCAGTCTATGATTTCTCAATTAATACACACAGTTTACATAGTAATGAAATCTGGAAATGATTTCTTGTATAAGTTCCTCTAAGACGATGATNACACCACTTACTATTCAAAAGTGTGGTCCCCTGAAACTGCAGGCTGGATATCTCCTCTCTGTCTTCAAAGATTGAAACCAGACTCAATCTGGGATTTCTCTACAGAGGACTGGCTGCTTCCCAGTTAATTTGAGCATGAAAAAGTTGCACTTCATGAAAACAGTGTTATATAAACATATATGGTCTTACTTTACCTGCTATTTATTAAAATCAGTGTTTAGCCTTTGGGGCTTATGGTTGCCTGGAGCCATCGTAAGTCAATCAGTCATAGAAATTACCTAACCATAGACTAAGGGTAGATAAAACTAGGTAATGAAACTTGCCTATAATTATACTAAGTTTAGGCTAATATTTATTACGATCAGAAGTAACATTTTTTGTTGAATAACTGTTTTACACCTGAAACTAATGTAATATTGCATATTAACTATATCTTAATTAAAAAACAAAACAAAACTTTTTTTTCCCCAAAAGAATACCTCAAGAGTAGAATAAGATAGTGAAGTTATTTTCAGGGTAATGAATATTTAAACATTTCCAAGAGTATAATCACCTATTTTAAATACTGTAATCTGTCATACCTCACTTGAATTGGTATCTACTGAATAACTATTACATATCCTCTTATTTAAATAACCACTGAAATTAGAAATAACTTTATTTAATATGACTGTTTTTAACACCATATGGGAGAGAAAATAACGAAATGAAAATTGTTCACGTAAATGTGATAGGATTGGGGAAAACAGCATTTCTTGACATGTGGCACATCACTCAGGAAAGTAAAAGGCCCATCATATCCAAAATGCCAGCTTGGATATTCCCTTACCACCCACTTTACGAACAGACATACCACATGGCATTAAATGCTGTAACCTTTCTTAAAAATGACACTTGGATTGGTCCGCTGTGGTGAGTGTATAAGAACTCTTGGTCTGTCTCTTGAGTCTGTGATTTCAAGGAGAAGAATCCAGTAAATAACAGTCTAAATTTTGCCCTCAGATGTTTGATTTAAATGATTTGTGAGAATATTGGAACTTTTGGCTGTTTTCACACTGATGAAATAAAATAAGCTACTTGAAAAAATTTTGCAGAACGTAATACTACACAGTCACATTCAACTATTTGCAAAAGTCTCAAAGGATATGCAGGGTATTTATCAAAGCTTTCTTCTCTTGGCAAGTATGAAAACAATCTTAACATTTTATGTATTCTTCATAAATACAATGTATAGACTATAAAACACTGTGCACATGTTTCAAACTATTCACTTTCTATAAAACTTTATAAGGTAGTAGCTAACAACTCTGCTGTGAACACTTATTTCCCCATTTTCTAAGCTTTATCTATATATGTGCTCTAAAAATATAAAAAAATTCTATTACCAGTAAAAATATTTAATATATTTGTCATTTTGTTGCAACAAATGCAAAATACCTTGAAAAAATTATGTAAACAGAAAACTACATATGCAAGTAATATGAAATATATACTTTCTTCTATTATTTATTTTTCATGAATGAGTTCTAATTACCTCTCAAGGGACAAAGTATAATTTTGCAAAACAACTTGTATTGTTCAGCTTTAGAAGACAACCCATGAAAATTACTAAGTAGGTAGGCCTTCTGCTATTACTCTTGTGTAAAAAAGACTGCACAATTAAATGACAGGTTGTTACGTATCTTTCTAACAAGAGCAGCAAACTGATACTGTAAGCAGTCAGAATAATGTAATTAAAATGAATTCCAAGTTTATATTAATACAGTAATAAGTTAATTAAAATCAAGATCAACTGAACTTTATATTTACACCAGTTTAGACAGCCCAAGAGGAAAGGAACTCTATTTTAGAGACATATGTGACTCTGAGCTTCTGTCATCCAGGTGCCATTTCTGATGGAGCACATGTGCGCTGAACAGTTGGCAAAGAAGGAAAAAGATTACTGTAGATGTATGTGCAGATATTCTCTTTAATGATAGAAAATACATCTGGAAAGAGAGCAGGACTTCTTTGTAAAATGATAAATTTCCCATGGCTTTTTGCTCCTTCTTAGGCTCTGAATGTGATTTGAGTATGTTTCTGGAAATAAGAATATATACTTTTACTACTGATATATGTGGAACAAAAATAGACTTAGTAATCTGTATGTGATGAAGTTATACACATAAATTAGCTAAAGCATCCAAAGAATTTAGGATCTGTTTTCCATTTTATGTAAATGCACCAGGAATAGGTTGCCTGTCAAAGTAGAAAGATTTATAAAAGTGTCTGGTAGCACACATTATACTACATTGCTAGGTAAGGTTCTTTTCTTGATATCCTATGCAACTATTTAAAAAGACATTCCTGCAGACTGTAAGTACAAGCAGAAAGAATTCAAGATGTTGTAGTTCCAGTACTTCAGAAAGTATTGGTCCCAGGATGTGCTTTTATAAAATTATTTCCTTATCATGCATTGATTTCTGCTCAGCTAATCTTCATCTGGTTCCAGATCAGGTTCAACATCTGTGGACAGTCTGAGATAAAAGAAAGCATAGAAAGCCAGTAGGAGGGCCAACAGAGCTGCAAGTACAAGGCCAACTTCCTGAGGAGAAAAAAAAAGGTAGACTTGAAATTGAAATGAGACAGGTTAAGATGATCAGTTTCATCAGATAAAATAAGCATATAATTCCATAGTCTACAATGAATAATTTGAACCTAATAATCACATTCTTTTAAATACTTTTT